GGGGGTCTACGCAGTCCTGTAATGATTCTAGCTGGACTGACTCTAAGAGATTTTTTTAGATTTTGTGAACAATTATTCCAATTAACATCTGCATTTTCTAGTATAGGTCTAATATATGATGTATACATTGTGGTTAATGACTGTCTGTCAAGTTTATGTTTCATCATCCTTAAAATATTAATTATTTTGTATGCTTTTTGGTAAATATCATAAATATGGTCATTCCACTTAGCATCATCACTGAATGTCAAGCCAAGATGTGTATGTGTTCGGCTGACAGTAACAGGTTCATCATAAAAATATACATTTGGGTGATTAGTATTCATTTTTTTAGAGAATATAACAGATTCTGTTTTATTTGGATGGAATTTAATATCCCATTTATCAGCCCAGAGTTTTATACTACTGAGATCATCTGTTAGGTTTTGTGCTAATTCGATTGGATCATCGTCTGTTACAGCGTACATAGAAGTGTCATCAGCAAACAGTTTAATTTCATGAGAAACAAAGTCAACAATATCATTAATATAAAGGAAAAACAAAAGCGGACCGAGAACCGAGCCCTGCGGTACCCCTGCATTTACAGGCCTGGATGTAGATATAGATCCGTCAGTTAACACTCTTTGTTTTCTAGCTTCTAAAACATTTCTCAACCAACAGAGTAATTTCCATTTGATGCCATATAGTTGGAGTTTATGTACCAGTCCATCATCTTATTGTTCCTATAACGTCATAGCATTGTTTCTTTTCACGTCATTTAAGTCATAACCTAAGGTTTTCAGGGAATTCATACCATAGGGACCTGGTAGAACAGGAGATATATCTGTGAAGGTATGGAGAAATGTATACACGAAATAGTATGACCGTGCATGAATTCCCGATAACTGTAAACATAGCAAGCTATTGACTATAACAAAATAAACTTTACATATTGTAAGTACTGCTTCAGTATAAACCATGATCTAATGCACAATAATGCATTAAATGTTGATTGTATGCATCAGCAAAATCAAGTAAAAGTTAATAGTTTTACAATGCAGTGTACTCATTTTATTTTTTTGCAATGTTGATACAGAATGTACGTATTGCTCTACAAAATATTTCTTCGTGTAGGCTGATGCCCTGTTGAAGCAGATTGTTCAACATTACGTGTAGGTTCTTGTTCTATCGCAAGCTTTTCAGAACGACTAAAGTGTTTTTTTGAAAACATATAAGTGGATATTTTAAAAATTAAGATTGTTTCGATCTGACATTTACTTAATCAAATGAAAAAGGTTCAAACTGTCTAATGGCGGATGATAAAAGAAAACGAAATGAAAGCTTTAAGATTATGATAAATTCTTCTCCGGATTAATCCTCCATGCTTTGTTAATAATTATAACAAATTCTGTGTTTATATATACACATTTGCATTTCAAAAGAGAGATAGTTGATTTTCAGGAACAAATAGCATAGGAATTATACACAACTACTAACCTTTTCCAAAATAAATTCGGCTGATGAGGTGTCGCAGAGAGTGACAGACCCAATACCCTATAATGACAATATGAAGTAAACACAGTTATTGAAAGACAAGAATAGCATTGCCACGGAAGTAGGGTCTGTTTCCTCCAGTTTCTGGTTTCTTATATTTCTTATCAAGGCATAAAGATATAAAAGAGAACTAACAAAACGTGTGTTCCACCATTGATTGACGTAATGACAATGTGTCTGTATCAGTTATATAAGACAAAGCGTTACAGGAAATTAATGTGATTTAAAACACATTTTACTGAGTAACAAGATTCCAACAAGTGATTTTACTCTTATAACAGAATGACTTAGGATGCATATAACAACATCACGACTTAATTAAAACGCTTACGACTACAAATGGCAAATGTCTTTATCATTAAAAATCAGAACTCTGACTGTGTACGATAAGGAAATCGTAAGGTAAAAAGGCAATACTTCGTCAACAGTAGGAAAATACGGAAGTGAACAGATTTGCTCCTATAGGTGACTGTTCTTTTACTACAATAAATTATACTCGTTATAATCGTAAGTTAACTTTAAGAATAATAATGGTCTCCAACTACATGTACATGTACATAGGTGACGATGGATATAAGTTTTATTGAAAAAATAGTTTCCAAGCATATCTTGATAACGACAGATAAATATCTAATCGATAGGAGAGCAATGATAAATGTCTAGTGACTTGGATTTGAGATTCGCGATATTAACGATATGATATGATATTTTGTTTTCATTTATGGTCAATCAAGCACAAAATGCATTCAGTAAGAACGTTGACAAAATTCTTCTTCGTATTAATGTCATAAATAATATGGACTCGTCAATCTGTTCCTTCGGTATATGTTGCTGTTGTGTATAATGGTTAGTAAGTTTGCGTGTAATTTGTTGATATGCGCTTTAGTGTCAGAGTACCTATTAAGTGTATATTATAATGTAAACATGCAAGATTCTAATATTATTATGCATGCATAGTTTTTGAATTGCACATTTTGACTGTAACTATAGGTAATAATTCCTCGTTGTTTATATATAAACTGTGAATGTTACAGTGTATTTGAATTAATGTACAAATGTTTACCAGACAGAAGATAACTAAGCTAGATTATACCTGTTGTGCACATTTTGTGATGTTTATAAGTATATATATATTATAAGCTTGTCAACTTTAAATCTTTGAGTATGCTTATTATCAAAGTGAATTTTAACATCATTACGAACGTTTTGATTCAAATTAAAAAAAAAAAAAATCTCACCTCATCACTGCAAATCGAAACTTGATGGACTTGAGCAACTGCAAGAAACGAAAAGCAATATGTATGTTTATTTCAAAATAACTGATGTCCTGCAAGAGTAGTTCCAACATCACAGTACTCGATTTGTTATATAAAACGAAATCCTTTAGTCTCGGTTAATACGTTGTTATATGCACCTAAAAGAGTAGTATCGACCTCGAAAGCGTATTGGCCGAAACCAAAATATTTCGTTTTTATATAACATAACATGTCTTTACACAACATGAGATTTTATATATCCAAAAACAAAAAAGCGAGAATGAGATAAATTGTAAATATTGCTAAAATATTATCAATATTTCACATACTTTTATATGTGTTACCGATTTTTTTAACAAACAAACAGACAAAACCATGAAATTTATTTGGCAAAAACAGTAGGTTTTGGTCTGTTATAAATTGTTTATATCGGGATCTTAATTAGAAACATGAAGCCAGATCATTTGTAATATACGTGCATATTCATTACTTGCACTCATTAACATATAAGAGCATATGTTTTATTTTCACGATTAAAACATTTATGTTCTATCAGTGTGGTGAATATTTCCCCTTTTTCATTGCGAATGCAAAGCACAAGTGCAATATATGGAAAGTATCTAACCCCTTAGTTTATCGAATTTATTTTTTAAATATGTTTTGGTTCATACATAAAACAACAGTTGGTTTCTGGACATATTTATCCTAAAACACTAACGCAATAAATGTAAAACGAATACATTCCTTATATTTACCATTTCAAGCGCGTCCTAGTTATCGATAAAAAAACTTTACAGGATTATAGAAAAAAAATCTCTTTTTATATATATGCCATATGCGAGCAGCGCATTAAAAAGAACAGCGTGTTTTCGAAGAAAAAGCAAAACCGTTGGAAGTTCTAGCAACAGTATGACAACGAAACAAATAACACGTACTACCATTTTCATTTTTTTAATTTGTATCCTATTGCAAGTAATATGTTAATATCATTTTTTTAACCAACTTGTTTGAATTTAGCAAGCAACCATGCTTAATGTTCCGTTATATAAGCATAATAACAAGTGCGGAATTAACTGTATTTCATAATGCGGCCCGACATTTTTTTAAATAAAATTTAAAGGAGATACTCGTCAATAGGTCCCGGCTTCTACAGGGTAGCCGTAAAAGACCGACAAAACACTCCTACGAGTGAATACGGTTCTCTCCCTGACACTACATCAAATCTATAGGGGCAGTGCACAATTATTGTAAAATGTTTTTACTGTCACGACACTTTGTCAATTCATGCAGGACAGTTTTCACTTTTACATTCACAAAAAACACCGGGTATAAATCCCAATTTTATTTAGAATACAAAAACGTGTAAGCTGTCCTGCATGAATTAACAGTGTCGTGGCAGTTTACCCTTATTACAAAATGTGTAAACTGCCCCCTAATGAATTAACACAGTGTCAGACAGAGCACTTTTAACTAATATAAATGTAGGAGTGTTCTGTCGGCCGGTATCAGACATAGTACATATAGAATGCAGATACAAATAGGTTTAAATAGTACAGTGACTCAGTTTACAAGTTGGCCTTTATCACTGCGTAATACACATGAACGCAATAGCTACACGCGTACTTCTGTCGATGTAATATATTCGGTACGTGTCAAGACTATCGACATAGTAAGATAACAAAACGTATATGCACCTCGGCGTGTGTCAGTAGGTAGGATAACATTTGACAGATACAGATATATACCAATAATGCCTATTACATGGGTTTTTATTTTTATGCTAAACCGCCGTGTACAGCTTGCGTTAATTTTTTAGTATGTTGATGGCAAATAATCTACGTATTATTGCCTGAACTATCAGAACAAACCACAAACTTTTAGATTACGTATCAAAGTGTTTTACGACACAGAAAACCTGTTCCAATATATGGTGGTTTCACACGGAGAACATAAATGGGGTTAAAGTAAACATGCATCTGATAAATAGGACACACTTATAGACAATTTCTTCCCTCTGATAAGTTGATGGTCTACGCACATATATGTTCCTACATGTAACATTTACTTTTAAGAGCTCATCGCAGTGAGGAATATATTACAGTAGCAAAACAATGTCCAAAAATAAATATAAACCATATTCTGTATATGGAAGATCAAAAGATATGCATATTGGATACCGTATCGGCATCAATGTATGTACCCGTCATAAAAAGATTTATCCCCAATAAAACAACTCATCCAGATGAATATTTTATGCATAAAATATTCATCCCCATTACCCCCCCNTTACATCATGTTACTTGTAGTACATGATTTATATGGTGTCATATATGTCTGTCCAGGTAATACACACTAAGATGTCACCTGTGTGGGGACTGGGGCCCCGGAGGCTACTGTTGCGTGGTGACACACAGGTGTGGTCAAAACCAGTTGTCTAGATTTAGTGCTATACTGACAATTCATTAACACAGATATAAAGAGTTCATCAGGTTAAAAAAATCATTTACATATCATAAAACTAATTTCTTTTACAATTGTTTCTATGAATTATTTTTAACATTGCAATCCAAACATTTGAAAAGCAGTACATTATATGTTATATGTTTATAGCTAAAATTGAATTTTTCAATTGATCATTACATCCATTCATATATGGCAAATCTGCTTCAACCTTTAAATATTTTTTCTAGTATTGTGTTACAGAAAATACTCATAAACGTAAATATTTTAGATATAATATTATATTTAAGTCGATTAAGGTGGTGCATGGTGTATCTAAATATTCTATTACTACAGTATAGAGGCGATATACGTACAAAGGGGAAGGTAGGTATTTTTTGGGGAGTTAATACTTAAGGTGGCTCCACATTTTCGCAATTAACCAGAAAAAACTCGTTGAAACTTTTATATAATGGTTATGCAACTATGTGGAGTTGATTTTATGAAAATCCAAACATTCAGATAGTTTGGGGACTTTTTTGGAAAAAATACCAAAAAAATGAATTTTCGTCAATTTAAATATTTTCCGGTGGGTTTTTTTTTGTGTGCGACATTGTTCGGAACAATAACAACAATAAAACAAGAGGCCAATTATACAGACCCCTTGGTCCAAGGATGCTCCAGACTAAATATGGAAAAAAATCCCTTAACTTGATGGTCGAAGAAGGATTTAAAAGGTTTTACCTCTATTTCTCCTATTGGCCCCGCCCTTCTGCCCCCTGGGAGACCACACCCATTGCATATACAAAATTGAGTCCCCTTGGTCCAAGGATGCTCCAAACTGAATTAGGGATTTTCAAGGTTTTACCTCTATTTCCCCTATTGGGCCCCGCCTCTCTGCCTCCAGGGGCGTTAGACACACCGTTTATACAAAATTGGTTCCCCTTCACCCAATGATGCTTCATATCCTGTCATTCGTACAGAAGAAGAAGGTATTTGAAGAATTTGCTATGTTTCCACTATTGGGCCCCTCCCTTCTGTCCCCAGGTGGGCCACACTCGCTGTTTATAAGAAATTGAGTCCCTTTTGTCCAAGGATATTCCAGACTAAATTAGGATAAAATCCCTCAATCCATATTGTAGAAGAAGGATTATAAAGGTTTTACTTCTTTTTCCCCTATTTGGCCCGCCCCTCAGGTCCCAGGGGAGCACACCCACCATTTATACAAAATTGGTTCTTCTCGACCCAATGATGCTCCACACAAAATGTTGTTAAAATCCGCTCAGTGGTTCATGACAAGTAGTGTAAAGTTGACGGACGACGAACGACGGTTGACGGACGCTGCGGTATGGCATAAGCTCACCTTGGCCCTTTGGACCAGGTGAGCTAAAAATTAAAAGAAGCATTTCTAATTAACCCTACAAATATTTTATTTATCGCAAAATATGTAACACATGTTACAAAAATATTTTTTTATTGTATTTGCACGGATAAAAGTGATTATCTACAAGCTAAAAGTAAACAGGACACAAAGATCTATACATATAGAATGGGAAATGAAAAAATATACACAATGGCTTTATAATTGATTTATTTTACATTTTACAATCACTTTGATCCGGGTTAGAGTTATCTTCCTTGAAAAAAAAATGGAAATTTTTGCAGAAGGGTGACATTTACACAATGACAGTTGTCACTGTTTACATATAACAAAAATGATGGAAATAAATAAAAAAAATGATATCAAAATTATCAATTTATTGTTCTTTTATGGAACCAAATTACCCTCAGTCATGTACACTTTGGACATCATTCCACAGTCCGCTAACTCACGGTATATTTATAATTACATGTCAGGTACATATGTGACCAGAGGCTATCGCATGGTATGCCGTTCTCACGTGCACTCACACATGCATTTCATAGGTATCTTGATATTTTACAAAACATTATTTTCACAGAGTAAGTAGACTACATTTGTAAACACGATTTAATCGACAGAGCGAAACTCCCTCAACAGCGAAAATCGTAACGACCTCGAGCTTATGAACTCGTGTTGCACATGTGAGGTTGGTACGTCCGCATTCCATGCGTTTCCTATATGACCTTCTTGAGGTCGTTTGGTCTCATGTCACTGTCTTCCCGTGAGTCTGTTTATGTCAATGAATTGGAAAGCTTTATTCCTGAAGTACGTGTGATTATACATTTCCCGGTAAAATCTCGATATCAGGTGTTAACATATCATCGGCACGCACATGTACTATTGTTTCCCAGGGCCCTGTTCGTTTATCCGGAACAACCGGTTTGACCGTTCATAAATGTAACAATTTCGGGTATAAATCCTGGCGGACCTGCAAATGTGTACGCAGGCCTTGCAAGACTTTCTCAAGACCCGCCTGAAAGCAGCATCAGATTACTAGGTCCGACCTTATTTAATAAACGAACAACAGTGGTCCGATCGGTTTGACCGTTTAAACGAAAACAGCACAGGTGTTACTATATTTTGCACTACGATATTGAATGCCCGATACGCAATACGGAAATGACCACACGGTGTACATGCACATTTCGATCAAGATAA